TGCGAAGTTAATTGAGCGCACAGCTCTCTTTTGTAATGTAAGGAATTTCTCCAAATGAGTTTTTGCAGCCTGGCCCCAGGCAACGAGGCCATAAGAAAGATAAGGGAAGATTAAAGAATTGTAAATCCCGAAAAGTGTCTTAGGAGGAATTTGATAGACAATGTTAGGAATTTGATAGACACTGTTAGAATTTGTGACTAGAAGTTCATTTACATAATTAGAAGTGTTTCCTTCAAGTCTCTTGTGAATGAGTGCGCATCGATTTAAATGTGCGACTCCCTATAAAAAGGAATCCATTAAGTGTATTAAACAGGTCCACGGATCTTGAGTTAAAAAGTGCATTCAGGATCACTCTCGCTGCCCTCGTTTGAAGTCTTAGAAGCCGTCCAGAGAGAAGCTTATGGCTTTTAACCTGTTCAGTAATAGCCCCATTCAAAGAGAGATTCAGATTCGCTTCAGTACTGTCCAAACGTTTCTGTAATCGCTTTCCCACCGCCAACATAGATTTTTTTTTTGGTTTGGCTGATGACTATTTTCTTCAGTTTAGACCAATTTACAACATGACTCCATTCGAATTTAGGGTGCGTTCCTTTGGGATGATTGGATCAGGATCAGTGATTCGAACTCACTCGGATCATGGTAGATCAAATGAACCGATGAATCATTGTCTAGAGTGGACTCATCGGTTCATTTGATCTACCATGATCCGAGTGATCTCGATCACTGATCCTGATCCAGATCATCCCAAAGGAACGCACCCTTAGTGTCCCTGTTGTTTAAGACAACTCTGTCCTTCAAAACCCATTCCCCAGAGGCAAGTCACCTGCCCTTTTAAATCTTTTTTTTACTTTTAACAAGGCAACCGTGACGGAAAAGACTAAACTTATCCCAGTCTTTTGATTTGCCATTTAAGTGAAGATGTAGGTGTATACCTAGGTGCTACGTTCGCTAGTGGTCTGATTCTAACGGTTATCGCCCGATTCAAATCCTTTCGAACTGTTCCAAACAGTCTTGTCGCAAAAATTGTTGTGGTGGACATGCTAAACGTAGTTATTGACATGCCAAGAAAACTTGCTTGGATATCCTACCTGTAAATAATGGTAACCCATTTGCCTGAGTAACTATTGTGCCTTCAAACACATTTACCGGATACAAGTCACCTGCGTACTTCAAATCCACTTTTATTTTAGCGATCAATTATTACCATAATTAATTATCGATTATTATTACTGATCAATCCGTTTCCCGAAACGCATTCGCCGGAAGATAATCAGCCGCTCTTTCAACTCAAATTTTATTTTGAACCAGACAACGGAAAAACTTAACATAATGTAATCTTTTGAAGAACTTGACCATTTTAGGTGAAGGCTGTGGATGTGCAAGCAGCTCGGTGAACACCTTCGTCATGTACCCACCGAAGCCCTTTATGAATAAAGTTTTTATGAGTTTATTAACAGTTTCACTGGCCCTGGGTGTTAGGTTTGGTAATGGGCTGATTCTGGCGGTTATTGCACGGTTTAAATCCTTTGGAACTGTTCCTAACATTCTTGTCGCAAATATTGCTGTGGTGGACATGCTAAAAGCAGTTATTAACACGCCAATCTATATTAGAGGCGGGGTGGTTCACAGGACAGGGTCTGGCGATCATCTTCAGCTTCTTTAATCTACTATTTATCATACTGAACCTTGCATCGATGATGGCTTTGATGGCAAACACATACTTTGTCATTGATTTTTGCCTAAAATCTCGGGTCTGGAAATCTAACTGGAAAGCTGTGATATCCTCTTTTATCATCTGGTTCAGTGGCACACTGATTGTGGTTCTATTCTCCACTCCCTTGCTCCACATTGACCTTGGTGACATTCCTTTTTTTTTTTCAGCAACAGGACGGGAACGTCAGTTGACGACGGGAAAGTGCGCGGAAAAGACTAAACACGACTTCCGGTGCTCAATTTGCCGCTCTGCCATTGGTCAAGCCAGTTGTTTGATTTGCGCGCGCCGTCGTCAACTGACGTTCCCGTTCTGTTGCTAAATCAGCCTATTATGTGGGTTGATGTTGTGACTGTAGTTGAAGCTGTCGTAAGGGACCACCTCGGAAATTCATTAAAGTGGTCGTAACTAGGGCTGGTCGGTTACGAGAATGAGCCCTCGAAAACGACCGGAAGGTAAATCAGTAGAGGGTTATCACTTACGAGAGCCTCATAAACTCATTAGTAATTCATAACGAAAAGAACACAAGTAATTAGACTTAAATGGGTGTCTTTATATCTGATGTAGACACAGCTTAACTTTACCTCCAATTTTTTAGACCAAAGTAACCCAAAATCTAAATATAAGTACAATAATGAGTTGATCTACATCAGAAGATTTTGAAGCCGTTCAATGTGAACTTACTGTTCCTGTTTTATCCGATCTGAGTAGTTACTTAAGAGAGCTTAAAAACAAAGGAAAAGTCCAGTTGGGTAATCCCGAAAGTGGTAGCGGTCGCTTACGGGAGCACTTGCTCACGAGAGCTTTTCAGTTTAAGTCACCGTTCAAACGGCATTTCACAAAGGTGATCGTAACTAGAGCTGGTCCCTTACGAGAATGGTCGCTAGGAGAGCTTCGACTTTCGTTGCCAAACAGTGCTCAAAAACAACACGCAAAAAATTTTAGGCTGATTAGAACTAGCTATTGGTAACTGCGTGGTGTGACCGCAAAGTCGACCGAAAGCACTAACTACAGTTAGGTATGACATCACGTAACCTGACACTAACTTAAGTTAAACTTTAGTTACCTCGGAGATGTGACCGCAGCCGTGTTTTCCGATTTATTGGAAATGGAGAATGCCTTTCCGTCATTTTTATGAAAACAATACAGTTTTGCAGCTGACACGCATAACAATGACAGCAAACCAAAGCAAGCACCTCGTTTCTCACGATCGACCAGGGTGTTATGGACAAACCGTTTTTAATGATATGATGGCATATATTAACATGCCTTTCTCACTTTTTCTCCTTTATTTGTTGTTGAAATTAACATTCCAGTGATGTTAAACTTAATGTTTTTCTCGTGTTTAATTCGTTAGACGTCCAATGATTTTATATTAAATGTACATCTTACGCTATAAATCTTTTAATAAAATGCTTTCGACGGTTTGAAAGAAATCCACATGCCGGCTCTATTCGAGCAAGTGTCATAGAGGCGTTAAACTAGGAACTCTTGACAATGACAGAAAACATATTTCCGAACAAAAGGGATTTCCACTAAATCGGAAAACCCTAATATAGTGGAAAGAAAGCGGGATGGTACAAAGCGTGAATGCGTTGTTTTCTCCTTAACTTGCTGTCTTCGCAGCAAACGAAGTAGGGCACGAAAAAAATAATGAGGCAAAGAGCGATAAAAAAAATCACTTATTTGTAAATATAAGTATGAGATAACGATTGAAGTACTTCAGTAAATGGAACACAAAAAGGCGACAAAACTAACGTCATTTGATGAACAATAAAAATGCTCAAGATTACAAAGTAGCTTTACCTTTAATCAAAGGACTTGTGTGGTGGGGGGGATGTGCGTACCTCTGGAAAAAGCCTGGCTTTGCTACTACAAGGGACTTATCATGCATTCCCGCGACTGTTATACAGCCGCGATGTTGTCAGTTGATATGACTTTCCTGTTGATCACTAACTCAGGTTCGAATACGTTTTCATATTCATCCTTATTTTCTTCAAATACAATTAACAAAAAGTTATGAACCGATAAAAAAAATTCAATGTTTTCAGGTTCAGAAAAATCGAGATGTCCACAAGTTTAAACTCAACATTTACCACATACATTACTGACTATTTCTGGCTATTTAAATCAGACTAAAACGTTTCCGTTGTAGTCGTTATCATGTCTTATTAGTGCGTGCACAAGAGAATTACGAGGAAAGTGCTTCCTGGTGAAATCCTTTATTAAACATTCAAAAGATTTGAAAAATGTCGGCTTTGCCGCTATTAATGTCTCAGTTTTTCTTTCGTATCTTCCGCAAGTTTAAGCCTATTGCTGGTTATTACTTTAAAATATGAATATTAAACGAAGGCCAAATTAATAGACGTGTTATTAGTTTTTTTTAGAAAACTAATAGATAAACTGCTACGGGCTGGTTGTGACCTTTTAAGTTGTTCTTTCGTGTCTTTCGAGGTGCTAAGCTCTCTGAACCTATTTCTAGTCCCTCTTTTAACAATCATTTAAGCTAAAGGGCATTCGTTCTCATTTTTTATTGGAAGACTAATAGATAAGCTCCTTCAGCATTTCATTTGGTCCCGAAGAGCGAAAAAAGCGAGCACAAACTTCTTGTTTTTCGCGCTAGTCGCGAGCCACTGAGAGCTTGCAACAGAATAATTTTTCCAAATCATCAGTAATGGCTCTGAGGAGTATCTAAACCAACTAACTAACTGGTATGTTGGTGTCATGAAACCCCTTATGAAACTATAATTTGTAATCAAGTAATTTGCCGGACCTTATGTTTTTAGAAACTTTTTCTTATAGCAGAATCCCAAATTTCTGTTTAAGTTGAGTTCAATGTTTTTGGGTTAATTAGCAAAACTTGCTTGGAAATCCTGCTTTTGCATATTGGTAAAACAGTGACGTAACTGCGCCTTCAAACACACTCACCTGATGCAAGTCACCTGCTATTTCAAATCCACTTTACTTTCAAAAGAACAACAGAATAACGTTAATTTATGCCAGTATTTTTAAGATTGTGACCATTTTAAGACGACGTTGTAAAGGTGACAGCGGCTCGGTAAACACCTTCGTCATGTACCCGCCGAAGCCACTTTCCACCAAAGTTGTGATGAGTTTCTTAACAGTTTTACTGGCCCTGGGTGCAACTTTTGGTAATGGTCTGATTCTGGTGGTTATTGCACGGTTTAAATCCTTTCGAACTGTTCCAAACACTCTTCTCGCTAATCTTGCCGTGGTGGACATGTTAAACGCAGTTATTAACACGCCAATCTACACGATGTCTTTCATCTTAGAGGCCGGTTGGTTCAGAGGACAGGGTCTGGCGATCATGTCCAGCTTCTTCAACCGATTATTTATCATACTCAACCTTGCATCCATGCTGGCTTTGATGGCAAACATGTACTTTGTCATTGATTTTTGCCTAAAATATCGCGCCTGGAAAGCTAACTGGAAAGCTAACTGGAAAGCTGTGGTATCCTCGTTTATCATCTGGTTCGGTGGCACCCTGATTGTGGTTCTGTTTTCCATTCCCTTGCTCCGCATTGACCTTGGTGATGTTCAAGTTATTGAATACAGAGCAAAGATCTACCAACAGGGAAAGTACTACATCGCAGCGTTCATGGCTCTCTTTACAATATGTAGTGGGATACTAGGTTTTCTGACCATAAATGCAATCAAGAGGAAGAAAATGAAGGTGAGTGAAATGTCACCAGGTTTGCAAAAAAAGCATTTGATCCTAGACGTGAAGAGAAAAGAAAATTGTTTATCGTTCAAGAAAAACCGACTAATCTATATCTTTTTTGAAGAACTTTTAAAAAAGTTCCCTTAGTTAATATCCCTGGCATAAATTTCTTTTTCCATGCGAAAAATAAACCAACGATAATCTGTTACGGGTCGATATTATGTATTATATATATTATGTATGCCCAGCGCGTGATGACACATGCGATAACCTCGAAAAAACAGATGGCTCTTAATTAAGACAGGCGGGCAGGTGAACAAGTAAGACTAATCTGCGGAACTGCAGACCGCGGAACGAACCTACAGAACCTGAGGAAATTAATGTTTTTATTACAACAACCTTTGGCTAACGTGATAAAATAATTAGTCACAATTAATCATAACATTGATAGACTGTTCACAGTGCCCTATTTTCCGTTAAGATCGTCGAGATCGAGCACTCACCGTCACTGGCAGCCATTTTGTAATTGATTTCAAATGTACCGAGGGGGCGGGCGTCGAGGTTCCCAAGCCCTCCCCCACCCGCGCTAAGTAGAATAGATAGTCATCTTCCTCATCGGTCAAGATGGCTGCCTGTAGCGCTCGTTCTCGACAATCTTGCGGAAAAACAGGGGACTGTAAACAGTCTATAACATCAATCGAGAGCTAAAAGAAAGTCCGCGAATCGCGGACTTCGGCTTGTTAGTACTTCTGAAGGGAACGAGAGGTATAGATTTAAACACAGTAGCACAACGTTGGAAGGAAGATAGAATGTGAATGTATTTGTGAAAAATAGATGATATTGAGGGAAGGGCTGAGTTGTATCCGGCAACAAGAGGAATGCGAGTGGATAAGTCGGTTATGGCATCGCTGGATTTGAGTGCGTCAGTGCGTGTGATAGTGTGAACACTCTTCTGGTTGAGGAAACCGATATTGTATCCACGTCTGTTAAGGTATTTTGTTAGTTCGTTACAACGCAGTTTGTACGTCTCGTCGAAGAAACATATACGTCGTATTCGGGGAGATGACTGAATGGAAAAGCTCGTTTACTGTGCAAGAGGTAGCCTGCTTAACCACTGAGGCCGCCCAAACTCACCTTACGAGGAAAGGGGTGTAAAGTAATTTACATACCATAGGTGACGCGGGACCTTTGTGCTGGACGCGCCGGTGTCGCGTAACAGGTGACCTTTGACAATAAGGGACTTTGTATGAGAAATAAAATACTGAAATCTGCGAACGCGAAATAACGTTGAATCTAATTTTTCCTTCAACGACTTACCTGAGATGTATTCCACTATGTTTTGGTGTCTGCTTGTCGTTTTACTGTTTTTTTTTTTTTTGGCTTACAACCACTTTTACATCCTAGAGAGAGTGCTGCTCCCTATTTCAAACTCCTAACAATCCTTAAATTAGATAATAAATATAAATTAAAAATATGTTGCTTTATACATAGAATGAGAAATGAGACTGATAGCGTTCCAGATATTTTCCTTGATGTCCTGACTCCAGCATCGCGTATACCCAACCATAATACAAGATTTGTGACTAATCTGAACTATTTTAGACCAAGAGTATCCACCAACTTAGGTAAGACGTCCGTTAAATTCTCCGCTCCAAAAATCTGGGAGACTGTACCGCCTGGTCTCAAGTGTCTGCCATATCATAAGTTTAAGAAAGAATGGAAGTCCTGTCTTCTAATCAGCCAAATCTGACCTTGCTTATATGTTCTATCACTGATATTATTTGAGATCTTATTCCTCTCCTTACTGCTGCCAATTATTTCAATATGACGGTGTCCAACAAGAAAGCTCTTGCTACTTTGGAGACCGTACACAAAGGAACTTAATATCTTTTAGTTAATTATTATTTGTAGCTACTTTATTTTCCTACTATGTACACTTATGTAAATATCTTGTCTAGTGTGAATAAAGAATTGAATTGAATTGAATTCTACTCCACGCTTCGCACTGTAATTTTCAGGGAGTTATAATGACTCCTCTAGTGGGGCTAATTTAACTCCTTACAGTGGAGTTATTTTTCGTGGAGTTATTTTAACTCCAAAAAGGAGTTTAAAGAACTCTTTTTCAGGAGTAAAAGTGACCCCAGATATTGAGGAGTTAAAATAACCCCAAAAAAGGAGTTATCCTGTACCTAAAATTTTTACTCCAAAAAGAGTAAAAACAACCCATGTAAGGAGTACAAGTAACCCCATTTCGGAGTAATTTTAACTCCAGACTGGGAGTAAAAAGAAGTCTTTTTCAGGAGTAAAAATGACCCCAAATTCGGAGTTAAATTAGGAGTTAAAATAACCCCAAAAAAGGGGTTATACTGTACCTAAAATTTTTACTCCATTTTTGGAGTTATAATAACTCCCTAAAAATTACGGTGCATAAGCGAGGTTTTGCACAAGACAAGCGCGAATCGCGAGGCGCGAGGAGGAAAAAGATTCGCGTGAAATCCTTGTTTGACTCGCATGGCTCATAAAGCGACTGTTATGCAGGCTAGTAAGAGGCGACATGATGAGCGTAAAAGATACTGGTGTTTGTCTGTAGGTTTAGTATTAAAGAACAGTTTCAATGATACCATCATTGAGGGACAACTTGACGTCGAAAAAGGAGAAAGATTTGCATGCATTAGTAGTTAGATGCACATCTAACAGTGGGATGAAGGGTATTTATGTAAGAGATGGGATAAAAATAGACGTTTATCATGAGAGTGAATTTGATGAGGTCGCAAAGAGTTTCTGTGTGTATGGTGGATGTAGAGCGGTCATGGGTATTGAGGAAGTGACAGCAGGCGCCAATACCCTCATCCTTCTCTAAACCTATTGTGTTTAAATCTAAACCTCTTGATGCCTTCCAACGTTCTAAAAAGCCAAAAGGCCACGATTTCGGAACCAGAATTCTCGATCAGTGTTACTTAACACATCGACAACAATTTTCCATCGTCTGGACTCTTATTGACCATAGAAATGACGTCAAAATGTTCAAAACTCATGTGGAACTACGAGCCGCAGGAAAGTGGTTTCATTCTCCATTTTTTAACATTTTGACTTCATTTCTATGGTCGATATGAGTACAGGCAAGAGTCCTATTATGGCTCTTGGTACAGGCCATGGAAAATTGTTGCCGACTTTTTTTTTACATTAACAGTTTTTGTCGTCCATTTCCGTTGACTTTTCGCAGAAAATTGCTTGTGGGAAAGAGAAAAACACACTGCGCCACAATCACTTCATTTCCATAGTCTGTAGTGTTATCGACAATAGCTCTCTACCAATCAGCCGGCCAGAAATCGCTTAGTTGTTGTAAAAAAATTATTGTAACTAATTATTTTATCACGTTTGCTAAAGATAGTTGTACTAAAAACAGTCGTTTCCTTATGTTCCGCCGGTTCCGCAGTTCCGCGGTCTGCAGTCCCTCTGATTAGCTACCCTGCGAGCAGAGTTTCCTTCGAGAGGGTACAGATTAGTCTTACCCCTCACAAAATTCTCGGAAACAATTTTGGCCAACATTTTACTTCGCTGCTTAGGGTGCTACGTGTCGGGGACTGGGAATTGCTAACAAGCGGCGAAGCAAACTTCAAAACAAATTTCCCGACAAATTGAGTTCTCAGACGCTTTCAAGACAAAAATAGGTAGCTGTCCTGTGTGAGCAGCAACAATTATTCACCTCAGTGTCGGTGGCTAGTAGTGGATATTTACTTAACACCACTAGCCACCTCCACTTCACAGTCAATAATTGTTATATATTGCAGTTACCTGTTAATCATTTTTAGTGATCTGATTTTTCTGTACGGGTATTAAATTGCGTGCGTTTAAAGTTTGGAGAGGATTGTTATTCGCGGGTCCTTAACTTCGAGATTTTTTTTACTGGCATAATCGCAAAAAACGTGAAATTACGTACCGGGTAGTTATTCACTTTTCGAACAACTGTGGCCAAAAAATACCCATTTCTCGTAGAAATGGATCTTCTCACCCGGAAGAGAGAAAAGAGGGAAACTGATAACTTTGAAAAAACAACGAATACAGGTCTTATTCTTTAAGGTTATGTACAAGGCATCAAAATCAATGTTTACCCATGAGAAAAATTTGTTTAACGAAACTCTGAAATTGTTCGTCCTTATCTTATATCCTGACAATTTCCAGCACTATTGGTTTATCAGTGTGTCTACCCCTTTCTTTCACAGAGAGCAAAGATGGACCTATCTGCACTTGGAGCCCAAGCTCGACTACGGAACGACATCAACGGGTCCAAGACAATCGCTATAACTATAGCTGCATATTTCATGTCCTACGTTCCAGCGGTCACCTACGCCATACTGGGTCAACAGGACGTTAGCCAGACCGACTCTTGGTTCGCATTCATCGCATGGTACGCTACTTTCTTTTCAAGTGCAGTGAACCCATTTATCTTCTATTACCGGACCAGCCGATTTCGTGCTGCAATCAAACAGTTCTTCAAGGATCCCTTTGGAAAAAGTGACTTTAAAGAGGAGCCACACAAACCCCGTAAAAGCAGAAACAGGATTGCCAAAGACAGCGGAGGAGAGAACCGAGGAAGTAATGAAACTTTGCTGAGAAGAAAATATCATGGAAAACGAAGAAATGGTTTCACGATTACGTCGATCCCAGCACTAAAATCACATCTCTACAACCTTGAGCCCATTGAACGGAAGGTAAAAGCAAACGAGGTACCGAAGGAATTTGGCATTATTTCGGCTGCCCTGGCGCATCCCGTAAGTGTAGTCGAATTGTCTTCGGCCGTTGCTCAGCTTTCGTTTGGGGTAGTTGAAAAATCTGCGCAGAAACCACTTGACAAGAAGGATGACGAAAAGAACTTAGGGAGTGAAATGATGTGTCGGCAAAAAAAGTCAGATGAGACCAGTAAACGAACGATGATCTCATTTTCAAAATCAAAAGTTCATCCGTTGAGGAAGTCTTAAGAGAATATTTTTCTTTTTCCACGAGCAAAATAACACCAAAATTTACCAGATTAAAAATAATCATAAGAGTACCTGTTGGATTAAGGGCAAACTCGAAATCATAGTTCATTCCACAATCAGCAAGCGCGACTAAAGCCAAGTAATATTAAACAGCAGTAGCAAAAAGGTTACAAAATTTATTTAATGTGCCATAAAAGAGTAAATAAGTCAAATAACCATCACACAAATATAAGTAAAAGTGACTTTAAAATTACAATGTAGAGTATTCATTAAGAGGAAAAGAAATCATCAATGCATTGATATACCGTAAATCCTGTATTAAGCCCCCTCTCTCAAATAAGCTCGCTATCTCTCAAACAGCCCCCACCCTCCACCTTCTCTCTAATAAGCCCTCCTTTTCACGGGAAGAAAGTTAATAAACGCCCCCCTTCCCATTATCATTCTTCACTTATAAATGATAGACTGTAAAACTGATCCGGGATGGTTTATTCACGTGTTGGAAATTCGGATTTGTTTTTGATCCTTTACCGAAAGACCTCCAACTTCTTGTACTTGAGTACATTGTAGTTCTTCATGGAGAAGTGATACCACCATCTTCGCTGGACTGAATAAGCAACCTCACCCCAAAAGTGTTTGAAATACATAAGACCTCCGGGGGGGCTAAATAAAGGATTTACGGTTTTCATACTTCACTCTGTATAAATGTTCATCCGGTAAGCAAGTTTTTAAAGTTAATGTGGAAAACGTATGTGTGTGTGTGTGTGTGTGTGTGTGTTTTAATGGACAAAACCTGACCTAAAATAGGCAAGAGTGAACTCACTCAAGCAGGAGATGTGAATGGATGACATAAATAACGTTACAATGCTACATGTACATAAATAAAGGTGGTAACAACCATCTTAACCGATTTTGAGAAAAAAAGACTTTTCCAAGTCCTCTTCGGTAAGAAATTGTCAAAAAACCTAATTAGTGCAAATCTGTCATCAAATATTGTACTGTTTTCTGTAGTCTTCGAGAGAACGCTTGACTTTTAAGACTGCTTGTTCAACAAGTCGCATAAATTCACGCACGTCGAACGCGTAGTTCCTGAACTTCGGATGATCACTGTACTGCGGGTGAAGTTCCTGTAAAAGAGGGGAAAGTCAAAAGTCACAAAGAATATCCGTGACCGTCGCATCCGTTTTGCTTTAGTTCACCTACCTCGGTTTTCTCAAAGACCTTGTCCTGGTTTTCCCAAGTTACGTACGAAACTCCCCTAAAAATCCAGATAAGCAATGACGACAATGAGTAAAAACATAACATCCCCTCGGCAGTAAATAACAGGGTTAAGCGACACACGTCAATCGGAAGTTAACCTTTTTCTCTTTTTACATGCCTTGACGCTACCAAATCTGTATTGCTAAGTGTATTTACTCTTATGGAGACGATTTGTCCAAACATATTTTCAAAATCGCGGCTCAAGAGTGAAAACAAGTCCACCTCCAGTCGACGTGCGTCGCTCAAAAACGTCGCTACTTTAAAAACTCCCTAATAAACAGGCCAAACTACCCTAAAAGAAGGCTCTACAGAGGGGAAAAATCAAACCCCTGAAGACATAAAAAGACTCTTGAAAAAAACCTTAATTCACAGGTACGTTAAAAGATCGTCGCTGGATTGAAGCCTAGGGACAAAGAGAATTTCAAAATAGCGGTTTCTTTTTTTGCATTTCATCATGAAACACTTTGGTTTTATACTCCGGGTAGGGCATTTGCATAATTAAAATACCGTGAGGCTGGCCAACTGAGGGACAATAGTCCAAAGAAGACAAATAGGAATTCGGGCCACTTGGGATTGACTGAGCCATTACTTGCCACTAAATTTGTCAGAAACTGGGCCCTTACATAGCGGTTTTTGACAATTAATCCGGCGAAAACTGATCACATCTTAGGTATACTTTTAAAGGAAAGACGCTGACAAATAAATCCTATACCAACATATGTCATCACCTGAGTCTTGCTAAATCCCGATAACAATTTGTATCACCACAATTGTACCTAAGAAACAAATAGAGCCCTATAAACGATTTGATACAAAACATTCTATGGATCACTACCTGACCTTCGATCATAACCATTCAGTAGCCAGAAAAGAAAAACCACCCGGCATCTTGTAGCTTCCAATAATTATTTTGTTACCTATTGTTTACAGTACTAAAGTGTACACGCAGACATGAAGGCTTCTTGTCGTTCTTGAGTAGAACCCACTCACTTACAATTCAAATAAAAGGGCCCAGTCAGGAAGAAACAACGCATGCGTTAAACCAGCTCCATGCATTCCAATAAATATATCTGTATTGTGACTATTCTGAAAACGAACAAAAAGTATCCATTTCAGATTTTTACTTTATTTAGTTACCTATTCCTCCGCAAATAAACCACGCAAAAGTGCCAAAACTTCGATATAATCGAGATAGCGAGCTTTAACAACCACCAAGACATGCGAGGGTAAAGAAAACGTCAAAAAAGCAATACGTTTAATGAAAAAAACGATTCTGCCCGAGCATTACACTTTTTTGTACTGTATTTGTCGGCAATACAAAATTACGACGCGAAATTTTCTGATACAAAAAATTATGGAGGATGTTAAAACACATAACGGTGAATTATTCCATCTCTTTCTAAACTTGGGTGCGATCCCCAAGAACCGAACTCCAGGAAAGTTCACCCACATTTAACAGACAACGAGCGAGATCGAAATTGCAACGAAGTGTGAAAAGAAAAACACAAATTCATTTAAACAGCGAGGCTTTCGCTGCCGTCGTGACGAGGGACCATACAATGGAACACTTTTCAACACATTTTATCATGATAGACAATGTAGTTGAGCCGAAGCATATCATAGTCGTTGTTCAAGAGCTCGATACATCGGGTTTCAACCTTATTGACACGATCCTGACAAAAATACAAATTGTCGACACAGTTTTAAGGGAAGTTCTTAGACGTCCGTTCGATGGTGCCGTTGGATCACGCTAAACGTCACGTCGTCAATTTACGATTCGTAGTAAGGGATGCACCATTAGAAATGTGAAGGGGGGGGGAGTCCAAAAACAAAAAAAAAAATCCTGCAAAACAAAATTTTAAGAAAAAAAAATCCTGCATTGCAACGAAACCAGAAAAAAATATCCTGCTTGGATAACCAATGTGACTGCGACAATATATTACACAGTCTGAAAAATAAATCTGTGATCTGTAACAGGAAATCCCCTTCCCCCAACTTCCTAAATTCATGTCAAACTACATTTCAGGCAGAAAAAACAATTTCTACTGGCTAAATAGAGATTTCAATTTGAACCAACTCTGATGCCCTTGATCTCTATAGCTGCCATAGTATTAAATTAAGAGACTGTGGTGATAATTGTTTAACTTTATAAATTAAATAAACTTTTTATTGAAATACTTTTGTTTTAATGGGATTAAAGTGAGATTGTGTTAACAACGTCAATAGTTCCACTTGCACGCAAGTTTATGGAGTTGGTGTTGTACAATATGCGTTGCTACTTGAATCCATAAAGTTTACAGCTATAAACAAAAGTAGATGTCCCAAAAACACCAATCACACTGCAGATCCCGCTGCATTTAAAAGTATTAAGAATATTATTTACCCAAACTAACACAAAATATTTTGAATGCTTTGCAAAACCATAAATAGAAATGGTGCATTCTAATAAAAACTTGAACCTAAACATATGGGCCACAGACATATGGTAGGATTTAGAGGAAATGTTCTTCAAGTTCTTCCTCTGTATCCCAGTCCTCGCCTGATGAAGACTGACATGCTGGCTGCAGTTTTACTTCTTCTTTTTCTTCTTCTTCTTCTTCTTCTTCTTCTTCTTCCTTTTCTTCTGTTTTTCTGTCTCTTGTCTTCCCTCAGGTTCTTTCTCTGTGTTCCAGTCCTTGCATGATAAGGACTGAGATGCTTGCTTTCCTTCTTTCTGTTTCTCTGTTTCTTGTCTTCCCTCAGGTTCTTTCTCTGTGTTCCAGTCCTCGCCTGCTTGAAATTTCTTCTTTTGTTTTTCTTTATTTTCCTTTAGAGCATTCTTCTTCCTCTTTCTTCGCAATACTTGCTGGCCCACACTACTCCCAAAGCTTGAGCGATACTTCTCTACAATATCTTGGTATTCTGTGCAAATCTTGGTAACTTCTTCAACCACGTTAGTAGTTATTCCCTCTTTGGTCTCACATTTTGGAATGGAAACCACTACAGGGGTGCTGTAACCATTCAAGATCAATGGCACTACTATGATGGAATGTGGGAGCGCCAATGCCAAGGTCATGGCCTCAAGAAGTGTGTCAACAAACCATCCACTCCTGCTGGCTTCTATATTTCACATTCAGTGTATGTCAAGATTTCGCTGCTGTGAGCCTTTCCCTGGAGATTCTTTATACTCAGGTTGGAAGTTCCATGTCCTGTGAACAGTCCCATTTTATTCAAGAAAATATATTTATTTTTATATACATGTATACGTAGCCTCTGTGCACCCTTCCCCCTCTCCTGCCTCAGAGCTTGTTTGAAGCATTGTGTACGGTATATTAAACATTTGCTCCACCAAATATCAATGTTCAAGTTTTTCATGTGCAGAGACTTGGAACGGAAAATGTACATGTACAATAAAAGGGGACTGTTCAACTATTATTTCCTAGAAATGTACAAACTTCTCATTCAAAGCGAGGACACAACATACATTTCACAAATTACTATTTTAAAGGCTATGTTCTATTTGTATTAACTCTTTTTGGTTGGTTGGAATTTTTTGTTTACCTTGGGTAAAACACCGTTTGATCTGCTTGTGTAGCTGTTTCAACTGCCACTGAACTCAGTTCGGACGTTTGAACGTATAGATTACTTCATGGGCAGCGCGGGCGTACGGTATTTACGCACGAGTTGGTTCGCATCAGAAATTGAACGAGCAAGGCTTTGCGAGTGAGATCCAGAAAGCGAGAGAGATTTATCTGACATACAATGCGAAAAAAGTCCATGTCTAACACTGCACGTGTTTAGGTGTCCTATTACATTATGTACTAAACATCTGTGACTGGACGAAACGCTTTTTTTCACGTGTGTGAAAGTCGTTTCGCCATTCTGATTGGCTGCGAACCCTGAACAGGGTTTTCACACGCCAAATTTCAATAGAAAATCTCAATTAGTATGAAAAAAATATACTTAAAACAAACGTGTTCTGTTGGAACACTACAACAAAAAACATTTGCGCGGTTGAAACAGTCTAGTAAAACAAGACCAAAAGAGGGCATAGTCATTTTGGAAAAAAAAAATCGTGCAAGGGTTTGAAGGTTGAAAGAAAAATCCTGCACTCCTGCTGGTTGTGAAAAAAATAACATGCCTTTCCAGAAAGTCCTACCCCCCCCCTTCACATTTCTAATGGTGCATCCCTAAAGTCGACGACGTTGGTGCAGGCGCGGCAAATTTTCCCGCCATTTCTTCCTGAAGTTTTTTTTTCATATACCAGATTGTTCAAACCAAAATGCCTACCAACAGAGAAACGACAACTTGAATTGTTCGCGCCACAGTTATGTTTTTAACGTTAACCTTTTCAAACTGTATATTTTTTCTCTTATCTAGCATCACCCAGTAATGTCCCTGCTTTTCCACCACTCAACTTGTGAAAAAGAAGGAAACTAGGAAATTTTATGCTATAAAGGAAATAAAAAAGAGGAGATGAGAGCTATTTAACTTTGTTGATTTGACCTTTATTTAAGTAAATTCAGTTAAACACATGATGTGGTTAATAAACAATACTCACTTTAACTTGATCAAGAAAAGGCACATCCCTGAAAAGTACAATTTAAAATCATAAGATGAAAAAAGCAACATACCCGACCTTGGTGTCGTAAATGTCACGTGATTAATTTTTACATAATTTCAGGTTTAGAACCTGACAGTGTTCACAATTCAATATTTTGTTAATGACGCAATAAACAGTTGACCCAAAAACATATCACGTAAATCGTAAAATGATAAAACCAAAGCAGTACCAGGAATAATGTGCAACAGTTAGTTTGACTTCAGGATATGTCTTCAAGGCCTCAATAATCTGCAACAGAAAAAGGCAAATTATTTAAGAGTAAAATAAAACAATTTAAGTTTTTTTGAGGGAGATGAGATGGCGTGAGTCTGTGTGTTGGAGAGGAGGTGGGAAGGGAAGTCCAAGGTGGCTTGTGGGGACCAAAGACACACTAATAATACTAGATTTGCATTCTTTTCATCTCTAAGTTGAGGTTTTTACAAGAGTTAAACGCTCGACAACTGTTTTGTCGTTTAGCAACCGGAATTTTCCAGCACATCTTAAAGCAGATAACAATCGGCCTTTTTTTGCCCCTCCCTTCACCCCATCACGTGTAGGACATCAACCTCTTCCTCGCCGCTTTTCGCTTGGAAACTGGAATGTTGGTGGGGAGTAATACTGTATAACCGATTAGCCCAATTCTCCGATAAACAGGTCAGGAAACTTCACGAAGACACGATCAGTAAAAAGGATCAAATCTACAATATTCACTACCGCAGAGTGATTTTAAGACACTCGCGATACGAAAGGTGTAACAAAAAAAGTTACAAATACAGTTGACTCCCGATAACTCGAACCCTCGCTAACTCGAACCTCGCGCTAACTCGAACCAAAATCGATTTCCCCTGGATTTCCGTCATACATTTACTGTAATTTTACCCTCGGTAACTCGAACCCTCGATAACTCGAACCTCCCGCTAACTCGAAGTAATTTTTGTTTCCCCTCAGATCATTTCTATATAATTTTACCCTCGACAACTCGAACCATGTTTTGAGCCCTTAAAAAGTCGGGAAAAAACAGTGTACTGGCGTCCGAAACATTGAATTTTGAATTTCCCATTGACGTGTTGTAGGCATATAGTTTACTAGTGCATCGATAGTGGAGGCTGATGTTGTTTGTCACAAATCTAATGTGAAATAGCTTTACTTCTCAAAAAGTAAAATGCATCCTCTATTTAGGCAACGTTTTGTTACTTTACGTTCTGATTTATAATCTAAAAGTATCTTTCAATTTCCACTCAACATTTCTACAATTAAATGTGATTAAAATTCTCACTGTGCAGTAAAAACTGTTTTTTTTCCCTTACTCCCGGCTATTTTCTTCGAGCTCCTGATAACTCGAACATTTTTCGATTTCCCTTGAAGGTTCGAGTTATCGGGAGTCAACTGTACATCAAAAACGCATTCACGGTACAATGACTTGTAATCGTTACGTTAGTAAATTATTACCTCGTCCTCATTTAATATTTTTCTAAACTTTGTTCCTCTAGACAGTAAAGTTATGCGGATTGGTTCACTGCTGTTCTGAAAAGAAAAACACTCCTTTAAGTTGAGAGCTTGGGGTTAATAACCCTTGACAAATCCACGGTGGTTATCACTAAAATACTGGTCACATGACCACCAATAACATGATGTCACCACTACACTTCTGTTGGAGACAAATCAAATCACTGGATTGCTGCACCTTTTGCGTCAGATGACTGCATGGTAGGTTCTATACAAAATTATAAATATGTACTATCATATAACTTATTAATTAATAGCACTGATATTTTACGGTAACGATGCCATGTTCAGCTCTCGTACTCACACAATGATACTTATAGGGTACGACTCTGTTGTGGAAAAAGCAACGACGACGGCGACGGAAACGAGAACTTCAAAAAAAAGATGGGTTTGACAAGCAAAACAAGAACTTTGCATGTGCATTTTTCACTGATTTTTGTACATTTTGATACATATTTTTTCATTTCTTAGTTATAAGTAGCAGATGAAGGGTCGCAATGTGGAAACCCTGTTATTAACCCGATTACTTACTTACTTACATTTCTTTGCCGTGACTGTACGACTATCAAGTGAAAATGCCTAATTTCACGTTTTATGGAGGACGTAAACAAGCCACGACGGATTTTTCTTTCTCCTTCTAAACTTGAGTGTGGTTCCCAAGAAATCAGCTCCCGGGAAATTCGCCTACATTTGACATTTTCAGTGGATTGAAATCAACCTCGTTCCCAAGCTCTCTCTCGCTACGTAGAGACGGGTAGAAGAGCACCCTAGGAACGAGGTTGAATTGGACGCGACAAAGTTTAAAAACCGCAAATTCACTTTAAATTGACGTATTCGCTGTCGTCGCCGTTGTCGATGCTAAAACTCCCTACTAAGTCATACGACACGCCTGGCCAAATAATGGAAAGAGCCCCCTTATTGCATGTTCTCAAGATAACTACCATAATAGTTAGGCAATACATCACGGGAAACGACGAAGTATTCTAGAATACAGCATGAGAGAATGAGATTAGGCTAGACACACCAATAAGTAAAGACCAGAGCAAATTAGCGCGCAGTAGATATGAAGGATCATCAGCCAAGTTAAAATAAACTTCTTCAGTGTCTCAGTGCATAAAGAAGTTACACTGGAACCTCTCCTTTGGGACACCTCCATGCAGGGGACACAAAATTTGTTCCCCAGGGAAAAACGTCCACATAATTTTTGTCTCTGTTACCACTACTCTGTCGAAATGAAATCTCTATTTAGGAGAAAGGGACACGTTTTTTGAGGCCCAAAGCCTGAGTTTGACCTCTATTCAGGGGACACCTTAGCACTCAATGTACCGATGTATAAATGTATAGATGAACCGTGTATAAATAAAGTTACCATACCATACAAAGCGTACACTAATCACAAGGATGACAACTTTCAAAAACTCAACAATCTCACTTAATCGATGTAATGCACTTGTGTGAATTCAACATCATAATATCGCACATATAAGATAATAATGATTTCCTTTTTATATTGTTTTCGTTGGTTAACTACTAACAAACCCCAGCCCAACTCAATCAGCAGGAGACACCTCTATTCAAGGGAAACTTGCTTCGGTCTAGCCTGGGACCAGGCTCTGCATTGGGGGAAAAAGGAGAAAAAAAATCGCCGTGGGCGAAATAAAAAATCGGCTAGCGAAGCGAGCCGATAGGTAGTCTGGGGAGGGGAAAGCTCCTTTCCCCTCCCCAGGCCACCGCTTGGCTCGCTTCGCTCCCCGATATTTTTTCTATTTGACCCTCTTTTTTGCCTCCCCCTGCGGAGCCTGGTCCTAGGCTAGTCTCGGTGCTGAGGGTGTCCCCTGAAAAGAGGTTCCACTGTACCTTACCAAAGATGACACTGACAAGCTACTATCAGTTTGAGTTGTAAGTAAAAAACGTTTAAAGTTTCAATTTTGTGTGCCTACACAACTTTTAAGCGTGTAAATTGTCAGCAAAAATTTTGATCCCAATTCACCTGTAAGTTATTTTCTTGCATGATTCCAAGCCTGTTCATGAGATGTTCTGAGAAAGCTTTAAATAGGCCACTTTTAGAGCAACCATTAATCTGAAAGGAACAAAAACATAGCACAACACTTTCATTTCACCAAAAGTAAAAACTTTCTCTTCCTAAGTCCGTTTCAGAGATAACCCTTTCTGGTTCAGCCAAACCTTACGCCTTAAAAAAAATACGTGATCTGATTAACAACGACTTTCCTCCCACAATTTTTACTGCAGCAGCTCATATGTTCTGATACTTGCCTAGACTGGCTAAGAATTTCGCCCCGATCCAGACGATACAATAAGGCTAACGCGTAAATCATTATAAAATATAAGGCAACCTTTACATGTAATTTTTGTTCCTTGATTTGTACCAATTTCGTGCTCAAAAATTTCACTTAACTATTACAAGAAAGGTATGAAAAGTTAAAAAAACTCACTACTAAAAACTTACCAAAGGAGTATTATAGTACAATCCAAACACCATTCTAGGAAGAAGAGCAAAGATAGCTTGTTTAAAACATACCTGCATAGAAAACATTAGATTTGATCAGTACCATTCTGGAATAATTAAAAGTTAAGACTGATACAGATTCTAAAGTAAAATCTATTTTCCAGTGTCAGCCCGTGAAAAAGACTGTGTTTCAAACCAAAATTAATAGCTGGCACAATTAATACAAAAATATATCAGTTCTATTTTGGCTCTCCTTCTTTTTTTCGCCAAGATGATCCGTCTAGTGATATTCTTTGATTTTTTTTTGTCACCTTTTTGCTGATCCAGCTTTTCAGATTCAGCCACTTAACTAATTATATCTTGTGTAAACTAAATCACACGTTTTTTAATTCAGAACAAGATGTTTATCTATGCGCCCTCAAGATTCCCCTTCACGACTCTCCATATTTTGACCCAGAATTATTCGCCAACATTGAAACAGATATACATGTAGCTGTATTTCACAGAAAAGGTGAACATAAATGTGTCGCCTCCAAATTTAGGGTAAGAAATCATAACTTAAAAATCGAAACTGGAAGATTTACAATTCCCAAAACTCCTGAAGATCTTCGAATTTGTGATCACTGCAGTCTAAATTCAGTTGAAAATGAAATGAACGTATTATTTCACTGTGATCTATATGACGGATGATTTGAGAAAGACTGTTTATATTAAAACCAACAAACGAAATACATCATTTACAAATTGCAAGAACCATGATAAAGTCTGTTTTCTTTTTCAACAACACTGCTTTGCATATCAGCAGGCTAACTGCTAATTTCGTTTTTCAAGCATTTGAAAGACGAAAGAAACATAATAATAATAATCAATTATACCATTCAATTATGTCTTCAATTATTTCCTTAAATTTATCTGTTCATTATTGTATTTTAATCGGTAACACCATGTATAGAAATGGTAATACTAAATAAACTTGTTGTTGTTGTTAGTCTGACTCAATGTTGTTTATTGGTTTACAGTGGTGGTTATGCTGATCCCTTTAAAAGTTCATAAACAGACATATATTAAACACCCTTTCTCACAACATGCTGCAGTTATTAAGGTTAAAAACCGCATCAAATACCCCAGGGGGATGCCCAAAGGCCCAACCCCTTACCTTTTTTAATACCATTATTGACAGAAAAGGTAACCCTTTCGGTATGCCTTTTGTTGACAAATGGTACATGTGCCACTTTCACATTCTACTTTAGAATGCTACACCCCTTTTAATTGCTGTAAATGCACCATTTTTTGAATATCAAGAAACCACACTAAGCCATATAAATTGAACCTGTTAGCCCTTTTTAGGCCCTCTCAACAATCACAATGACAAATTTCTCTACCCTCCCTACCCTCTCTTATAGTTCAACTAGTGAAATCCCTACCATCTCACATACCTGAAGCCTGAAAATGGTCCCCCTTTTGGGTGGAGCCTCCCTGTATAGGCCATCATAGAGAGTAACCCCCACCTCCTCTTCAGTCAAATACCACCAATGCAGAACTTCACTTTATTATATTGCACTAAACTTCTTAACATGATTTCATTTACCCGTTTGTTCTTGTATTCTTGACCAAGATAAACAACAGGATTTGAAGTGAATGCTTTCCATGTGGCTCCAAAATTCCCCAGACTTCTCCTTTGGTACTGCATTCATGAAAGTTAAGCATATAAAAATAAATGCTTTAACTGTATACAATAACTTTTTTCTCTTAGTTTGTAAAAACGTTATTCTTTGGCATTATAACCGTCAGTTTTAACCAATTTTCTTACTTTTTTTAATACTCAAGGCATAATTTATAGGCAGTTTGAAGGCTTGATTTTTACAACGTCAACGTCAAGAGAATGCAAATACCTAATTGTGGACATTAAGCTACATTAAAAAAACTACTATGGACATGTAATTACCTACAATGTAACTATTTTCTTGTCTATTAGAATTAAAAAAGAATATTTCGTTTGTTTGATTCAGTAATTAAGTAAGATTAGCATTGTTTTTAAAAGAAAGGTAAAACAACAGGTACAAGTTACAACATTATAAACTTTAAAAGTGATATATGCACTTATTAGTTTCACCATTAATAATAACAATACAAAAACTGATAATAGTTCAATTTTTTTATCAACTCATTTTAATGTAAAAAATGCACAAAACATTTCTTCACATAGCATTATTAAAACCGTGGCCTGCATATATGTGGTAGGCAGCAAACAGATGCAAATAAGGGTAAACCTTAATTAAAACGTTTTTGAAAAGTAATTTCAGTAATATGAGCTAGGAAACACTAACATACTCTGCTCTGACCTTTTCCCATAATACAATATTGACATCAGTGTCAAATGATCCATTGACATGCTGTGTAGCATACAGATTGAAAAAGTCACAGAAATGATGGTACATATTTACAACTGCAACAAAAAAGGAAATGGTGGAAGAATGAAAAATGGTACATTTTAAGCTCAGTGAAACAAATGTGAAAATGAAATAATCAGCATGTCACGAGCATGGGACAAAGAAAAAGCCTCAGTCCCCAACAGCATTCAAACCAATGACCTCCCAAAAAGTCTGGGGACTCAGACTTTTTCTTTGTCCCATGCTGGTGACATGCTGATTATTATATTTTTATTTTCACAAAAAGGAAATGGTTTTAAAATACGGTCAGTAGGTAATAACCTAACTTGTAAGGAAACAAGAACACTAAGAACAAGGAATCAAACCAACGTCATACTTGCGGTTTCTAGTGCAGGGCTCGAAAAAAACCTTGAATTTCAGCTTATCCTTTGGGCAGGCATTTCTCACAATTTGCTTCCACAGGTCCTGCACTTCTTGCCTGGACCCTTGCCCATTGTGTACTTTACAGTTAAAGTTAATTGCCAAGCAAAAACAACTACTTGTCCTGGACTACAGTGTACCAGATGGGACTTTTTTCAAGCCCTGTAGAGATTATTTAACAATTATTCCTCGAGTCCAAATGGGCTATTGACTCAGAGGCCATGAGGGCGAGAGGGATAATTGTTTTAGTAAAATCCAACTAGTGGGTCAAAAATATCGAGAATAAAAAACTTTACCTAGTTAAAGCTAGACTTTAATCCTTTTTTGCCGCCAAAAAGCACGCGCTTTTCGCTACTAGTTGCTCAACCAATCAGAACGCAGCATTGATAATAGACCACTAGTTGGATTTTACTAATAAATTATCTATATCCTATGCAGCGGAAAATCATTATCACACAATTCCGTGACACAGTGCTTGAGCACCAAACCTTTCATAAAAACCTTTCAAGCCATACCAGGATTAATCATACCATGATACAGGACACCACAATTTGAAACTATTTTTGTAGGCATGTTGGTTATGAAAAGACTCTTCCAGGTCTTTGCACTTGACTTAACCTGGCCTAATTCAGCTGTCAGTAGCATACATGTTATGTAGTCTGTTACAGGCATGTATAAGCCGAAACCATTTCTTAGATTTTTGATGTAAAATCATGGGTGCCACTTGTCTACCGTCTCTTCTGATCAATCATCAGTGTAAATAATGCTCAGATAGGGGCTAAAAAAAGAACTGAAAAATTATATAATAAATCAATAAATAAACATTACCCCCAAAATTATGTTGTTGATCATTGCTTTAGAGGTAGTGATGGCTCTGAAATGAGCCATTTCTGTCTTCAGGTTCAAATCATGAACCAGCAAAACTTACAACAACAACAACTTTACAGGACAGCATGGATTTAGCAAAGCAGATTTAATACAAAAAGCAATAGGCTGGTAGAGAGAACAAGATATATGTAACCTTGCTTGGCAGTAATTCCTTAAGGTGATTGATTATACATGAGTGTTGACATGTACAGTATATTTGTGACAAAATCAATGGCAAATGACTACAAAATTTGTTGGTGAACTTGATTTTACCTAGATGTCCTCAACATACCTGCATCAAGCTTCATGAAAAATGTTGGTTTTTCAACCAAAATGTCACAATGTTCTTTTTGATTTGCTGGAAAAGTTAATGGTGAAAAGTCTTCCACTTCATTTAACCTGGAAAAGTGTAAGCCAGTACACTTTAATTAGACTCAGTTGCTAATTTTCATAGATACATGTTATTCCTTTGAATTAATCCCTATTTGTCTAGTTAAACAAACTCTAGAATTTGATTTTGTATTGACTTCTGTTTCGACTTGTTACCATGAACTGAGTTCCATTCTGTATATGCCGTCTCCAGTGAGAGCGTTAGAATCAACTTCACAGAATCCACTAATTTGCTGAGGTTTAAATGGATCAGAATTAGATCTGCAAAGCAGAGTTTATAAACAAAAAACAGTTATCAACACATTCATCACATTGAATGATTGTCTGGAATATTTTCACCCTTGAATCTGACACGGTGTTTTCTGTATACCGAGGCTCTGCTGGACTTAACAAATTTGTACTAAAGTAGCCCTTTTTGCGAGCATGGTATTTTTTAATCTCTTATTCTGTAGACCTCATAATGAAGGTTTTTTCACACTATAATTAATTGTGAAATCAAGGTACAAAAGTACTGAAGTCTACCATGAGAGTTGGCAAAAAACAGGAGATGCATCATCATTATCATTAAGACAGAGTCCATAAGGTGTCTCAGTAAGCACAGAATGAATTATGATCAACCAAATTGGAGCCAGCTTTGCTAAGTTAGTAAAAAACACAATATGGATGGTTACCTTTAGCAATTACTGGGCCTCTAAATCATCATGAAAACATAATAGCCACACACAACTACACAGCTCTGGTACTGTTACCTTTGAAGTTCCCTCTCACTATTTCTGAAATCCATGTAAAGGTTTTGGCCTTTACAATATGTCAACTGCTTTGAGCAGACAAGAGAAGAACTTTCTGCCTGAAGAAAATCAGCAAGATTTATATCTTAGTTCTAACATAATTGTCTAAAAAAGTGCATTAAAAAAATAAGGTATAAGTATTGATTATAATTATGTGCTGCATAATTATGTACATTAAGTGAGGCAGGAAAATTACATGTAGTCTGAGGTCTGTAAGATAACAGCTATAACTAACAATAACAGGGAACTTAAGAACCATGACGACGACTTTGTCGACGACGACCAGAAGTGAGATACCATGCACTGCGCAAGCGCGATTAGCAAATTACGTCGTCGTGGTGTCAGCGATGACGCCAAACACAGTAGAATCACGTCGTCCTGCAATCCACAAGCTTTGGAAGGTATAACTTCCTGTTTTTAAGCGATTTTTCAAGGGCTTTGTATTTTTTATCCTCGTAAATCCAGGCATCCTTTCTTTTTTCTCCTAATAAGCGATGTTGATTGAAAATTTGACTGATGAATTGTGTTTACTTCGAAGACAACACTGAGCTGTGGAGGCCGAGCGAGCGAACTCGTAAGTGATAAATTTAGTTGTACGTATTTAGGAAAGGCAAATCATATATCTTTAATATAGAGGAAATGAACTTTATATGGAAAACAGCTATCGGATTGGAATGTCTCTTTTTCCAAATCTAAACTCTGACAGACACTCGGACTCGGTCATCTCATTCAGGTTGAAAGTTGAATAATCTTCGCACAGAAAGCTGAGATTTTTCCATTCGAAAAGGTCAGACAACACTAAAAATTTGTCATTATCAAATGAAAGTAGACGTACTGCTAATAAAATAAGATCTTGCATGGTTTTAAAAGACGCCTCTGTGAAAAAACTTTGTTGCGAACGAACATCACAGTTCTACTACTTCTACTTGTTTGTTTACATTCAGTGTCGTCGTTGTCGACCTACCGATTGACTGCATCTTAAGTTTCCTTTTTCCCGCCGAAACTGACGTTCTCATTCCAGTCCTTTCCCGGTCAACAGACGTCGTTGTCGTGAACTTCGTCGTGGTTCTTAAGTTCCCTAATATTACTGGATGAGGCTGAGTAGATCATCTGAATAATATTTATGGAGATCAAGGAGGGTTCGCATGGATAACACCCTCCCTTTGTCCTCCTTTTCCATACACCTGGGTTCTACAGGCAATCACTTTCTGTATCAGAATCAACATCTTCCACCAAAATATCATTCATATAAAACTATACATTATTTTGAATATGACAAAGTAATTTTTTTCGCAGACCATAGTTCTTCCCTGCAGGAATATGTTTTGTGGATTGTGAATAAAAACACAAGGATTAACCCTCAAAATAAAGCGCCGCACTGTACTTGGCCAGTTAGTGATCACAGTCAGCATGCAGGGCTGTCACTAATATTTCAAGTTGTCAGGTAAATGCGGTTAGTAGGTGGTGAATTGACTGGCTGGAAAGTTCTTTAAAACTGGTTCTATTTTCCTTTTGTTTGCTATGAAAGTACCCGTAGACGAGGGTCATGCTCATCGTAGCCGGGGGAAATCCCCAGCCTTTGGCCCTTAGCGGCGGACAGCCCTGCAGTCACTATACATGCATGGGCAATTAGAAGGTAAGATATATTAAACCTTGTTTTCCTTAGGCTTGCACACAAACTGCAGACTATCTTGAACAGATTTTATATAACCAAAATCTGCATCTTTCCAGAACTGGTAGACCTTATCTTCATATCTGCAATGAATTACATGTACGTTAATGAGCATTATTTTAATGCAAAGACAGGTAAACTAAGGCAACGATAAAACAATTAAGAATAAAGATAAGCGAAAAAGTTAAACACAATTTTTCAATGTTGCCACGACATCATTATCAAGTGACAAAGATAAAAATAAAAACTGACCTAATCTATATGGTTTAAAGGGACAAAATAGGTCAGTTTTTAGTTTTATCCTTGTCATCTGATAATGATGTCATGGCGACCTCGAAACATTGTGTTAAACTTTTTTTGCTTATCTTTATTGTTACAGTGGAGGTGTTTAACAAAATTTAATTTGATAAAACAATTGAAGTAAAATTGACATTTTGAAATGGATGTGTGTTGTGAAAGCATCCTTTTGTCAGTCATTAATTATAAGCATAAAGTGCTGCTGGCTAATTAAACATTAGAAGATAAACTGATACAGCAAGGCTGCTGCCTAACAGGCACCCGGTCACCAGAGGGGCCTTCAATTTACCGTTAGGCGACCGAAATTTTAAACGGGGAGCCCGAATGGGCACCCAAACTTATGTTTCTCAAGCTAAATTGTGGTGAACAAACAACAAAATTCCCTGCTCATTCTACACTTTTGAAACGAAAATGAACAACGTTTGGTCGTCGGCCATAGGCAAAAAAAATATAATTTCCGCCGATAAAAGGTAAACAAACAAGCACTTGTCTTGAAATATGCTTCTGTGACTTCCACCTGCGACCAGCGCAGTTGAAGTTTCTCGTCGGAAAATGGCCTCGAAGGAATTTAATACTCTTTGAAAAAACTTCAATATTAAAATCATGACTTTTTCTCCAGCGTTAGAAATGTTAGGTTGCTATTGCATCAAATAAAAACTGATTAAACGTTGCAATCTATGGTAAAAGCAAGAGGTTTCAAATTACATGTGACATACAGTATGCTAATTTTACTTTTGAAAGTTTGTAGCATTTTCTATCTTGCTATGAATACGAACGGTACATTCAGAGGTTTCTTTTATTGTTTATTCAGCATTATCTACATCTCCCTATTTAGTACTATTTTGTGTATATCAAAAGATAGACTTGATTCAAAAATACTGAGTCAAATAATTTGCGCCAAAATGACGTTACCTGGTGTGTTTTTTGGCAAGGGAAACAAGTCGAGCTTTTGCTCTCTTGCTCGCTTTTTGCCGCAGAAAACATAAAAAATCTACTGCTCGCGCTTCGCACTCGTGAAAAAATTTGGGAGAGCTCAACTTGTCGGCAAGTCTAACGCTGTTGGTCAGTACATTTGCGTGCAAAAAAATGGTTATTGTTATGTTTCTTGAGAAATAAATCTTTTTTTTGTTTACATCCTTTCGAGTGGCCAATATAAAAAAAGGCTGGTTTCTCCAAACTCAAGACTCAGTGTTCGCGTTTCGAAACTTAGTTCATTCAAGTCTTGCGTATTCTTCCAGTTTTGTCTCGCCATGCAACGCTCCTTAGGGTTGTGTGACCAGTGAAAAGGGAGACTTTGGTTTCGAGTAGCGTGAATCAAGTTTCAAGGATCTGGTCGAGACTGTCAACTTAAGATACAGAAACTATCGATAGGGTCATTCAGGTGAACTTATTAAAACTAATCAATCAATCAATAATCTTTATTTATACACGATAAGTATTTAAAGCGACGCTTCACTTGTGGGGTTGTGTCTAAATAATTAAATAAGATAACTAATGAATTTGAAAATAAATAGGATACACAACAGCTAAAATCATATAGCTACTTACTACTTACAAGTCTAAAACGATAAAAGCTTAAAATTCTAAAGTACAAGGTGGTACTCTAGTACCGACTAATTATTAACACTAATTATACTTAAAATCTTCCTCCCTTCTGGTTAATGTTTGAGGGGAGATACAGTCAAAATCTATGTGTACCAGAGCCTTTGACCGTCTTGCCATAATCGCATATTTCTTAACATTGTCTATATCGTCATTAAGTCGAGGAACCAACGTGTTCCAAACTATTGCTCCTCTACGAGCTACAGAGTTCCTCATGTAGTTGGTGTTAAAACGAGGGACATCAATTTTCAGTTTCTTCCTAAGTTGATATCGCTTGATGTTATCATTGTTCTTAATAATAGCTGACATAGTGTCTGGAGTCAGGTTATTGTGGATTTTATACATAAGCTTAGCTAAGCTAATTTTATACATAAAGGCTAAAGAAGACCAATTAGCCTTTTTCATAGCATCTGCATTAGACATCTCCCAAGGTAGCTCAAAGATAATTCTCGCAGCTCTACAATGCAGTGCTTCTAATGTCTTAAAACCTTCCTTATTTGTGAGGCCTCCCCATACTGATATACCATATACGATCGACAGCATAATAACTCTAAAATACAAGTCTAATAACATATTCTTTGGAAGAAATTTGCTACGTTTTAACAAGTTTAACTTATCAACAAAGCCTTTTTTAACAACACTAACATGTTTAGACCAGCTTAGTTGATCATGTATCAATACGCCTAATAGACGAGAGTGTGTAACCCATTTGATGGTGTGCTGGGCCAATGTTAACTCTTTCAATGGGCCAGTGAATCTTCCACAATGGAGGATCATTGCTTCACATTTCTTTGGATGAGGCACAAGGGAGTTTGTTTTGCACCAGTATAGAAGCTCTTCCAAAGCTTTGTTAAGTTCAGAAATTACTGCGTCAATAGAATCACCAATGCAATATAGGGTAGTATCATCAGCATACATGTAGGTTGTCGCAGTGGTTATAGCTTCAGTTAAATCACTTGTGTAAAGAGAAAATAAGGTCGGTCCTAGAACAGAACCCTGCGGTATTCCAGATTTAACAGTGTTAAGATCTGATGCTATACCATTTAGGACAGTATATTGTTTTCTATTGTCAAGGTAACTGCGCAGCCAGTCAAGTAGCATTCCATTAATTCCAAAATCATTTTCTTATTTACGTAATAGCACATTATGGGAGACACAGTCGAACGCTTTGTGGAAATCTACCAGCACTATACCAACAACTTTATTTGAATCAATGGCACTCCTCCAAATTTCTGTCATATGTACTAGCAACAGCTCTGTAGAATATCCTCTTCTGTAAGCCCATTGTTTGTCTGTAATTAATCTATTTTCAATGAATGCATGGTGAATGATTGAATCAGCAACAATGGTTTCAAGTATTTTGCTCGGAACACTGAGAAGAGATATGGGGCGATAATTTCCGATTTCAGTCTCGTCATCCTTTTTAAAAACAGGATTGTCTCTCACAGTCTTCCACTGGCTAAAGACGTGACCATCTTTCAAACTCATATTGTAAAGGAACATCAACGGGGATAGCAATGCATCTCCAGCTTCCTTGACTATTTTCGGTGATATGTCATCGGGTCCTGTCGCTTTATTTGTTTTGAGATTAGCTAATTTTCTCTCAATGGCCAAAGGCGATAGTGCAATGTTATTGACACAGGGAACAATCTTAGTTGACGTGGCCAGGTGAGATAGATATTGGGGCTGGAAACTGCCAGCCAGTTTGTCTCCGATGTTAGAGAAGAAATTATTGACTACGTTTGATTTTTCTTTGTCATCAACTGCGAGCAATCCGTCCTCTCTTTTCAATGGACCTATCGCTTTCCTTAATTTAGGGTTATTTGCCTTTGAAAGCAGGTTCCAATACTCTGCAGTGGTTTTGACATCAGCTAATAGATCTTTAAAATGCTTAGCCTCGGCTCTGAGTATATCAGCTGTGATTTCATTTCTAAGTTTCTTATATGCAGCCCATTTGCTAGGATCCTTTGTCCAGTTTGCCTCTTTGAATAATTTAAATCTGCAATTCAGTTTGTGCCTAATTGTGTTGTTAATCCACGGAGCAGACATACTTCTCACTTTCACATCCTTAAACGGGGCGTGAGCATTGCATATATCTTTAAACAATTGTTCCCATCCCCAGAGCGCATTGTCTTTGTGATGAAAAATTTCCAGGATATGAAAAGGAATCTTTTCAATATCAGCCTTAAAATTCGCTGCCTTAACATTTTTACAGTTTCTGGTGCGAATAATCTTCGGCGGTGGTCTTTTGCTGCCCAATTTAAGCATTGCATACACTAGGCAATGGTCGGATATACCTAATGGCATTACTCCTGTGCATCGCACAAAATCCACCTTGGTGGTAACAATAAGATCAAAAAGTGACTGTGGTATAAGTTATGCAGGTTGGTTCAGCAATAACATTTTGCATATTAAAATCTTCAAAAAGCCTCAGCAAATTCTTTGTTTTAGATGTGATTAAGGTGGAGCCAGGATTGTTTTGGGCTTCCAACATGCAGCATTTTAAGTCACCAAGGACGAAAATACTGTCTGTTTTCAACCAGGCTTTCTCAAGAACGCCGTGAAAGTTTTCAAAGAAGTTCGGAGTTTCGAGTTCAGATCGGTAAACAACTGAGAATAAATTAGTGTGGACACGGAATTTCACCTGTCAGGGCTCGAAATTAACGCTCGCAAACTCACAAAATGCGAGTGATTTTGATAATCTGCGAGTAAGAAAAATATCCACTAGCAAACGATTGCGAGTTAGAATTATCCATGTCTCCCAAACAAAGGGAAATAATTTGCTTGTGGTCTCACCAGTTTGCTAGTGGAAAAATATCTTACTAGCAAAACTTTGCAAGTGCACTAAAAAGATAACTTCGAGCCCTGCCTGTATCCATATGGCCTCAATATCCCTGACTAATAAATCTTTACGGTGTACAGCCGTTAGATGTTCAGCATAGTACAGGGTAACACCTCCTCCTTTGCATTTAGTTCTGTCACGTCGGATAAGTTGGAGACCGTCTATTTGCAAACTATAGGTTTAGATACAGGGTTCTGTTTTTGAAATACAATGAAGTAAGAAACCTCCAGTACAGACAAAAGGAGATTGGCCCTTAAATGTTAGTTGACCCTTACTATGATACTATTTGGGCCCTAGAGTTGAATAAAATTTAATGATAAATTTGAAGCTTATTGACCTTCTCGATCAACTGATCAGTGCAAGTAGTCGTGTACTAGAAGTTTGACACGTTTAATAAAGTTACAGATTTTTTTAAATTGGGCTCCTACCTTTTTATTTTAGGAGCCCACAGGGTTCCCAGAAAAAATTTCTTAGGCAGCAGCCTTGTACAGGATCATTAAAAAAATACAAAAGATAGAGTGGTCACATGTTTCAAGGTTAACAGCACCTCAATTTTTCATAAAAAATTGTAAAACCAAAAATACCATGCACTGAAGACCTCATATTTTTTTGTTACCACATAGCTATAGATTTGAGCAACACTAAAACCATATGGAAAAGTAAAACTAATGTATCTAAAAATAATATTAGGATGTCCAGTTTCTTTAGCCAAACATGACCATAAGAGAGAAGAACTCAGAGTTCCCAAGCGCAATCCAATCCATAATTTTTAAGAAAACAGAATTATTATAAACAAGCTTGTTGTTTCAATGATGGACAGATAGGATTAAAATACTCACGACTTGAAGTATCTATGAGTCATACTGTTGTCACAGTGAGGCTTTGTAAACCACTTGTCAGGTGACCTACAACCTTCTTCATAACCCCAACACTCATGTGTTCTTTTCACCTCCTGGTGGTGGGAAAAGAATAACAAGATGTACGTAAAACACTATTAATTTTTAGGGACTGATGTGTTTTCTCTCTGAAGCAAAACCATACATAAGTTAATTAATTTTGCTTTTAACCTTGAGGTAAATGTTGTACTAAAAATGAGTAGACAGCGAACAATTTATAGATCTTTAACGACACCTAGTTTATTAACAGGAATCGCAAAGAAAAAATCTACCATGAAACAAAGTAGTTCATAATGGTCATTTGGTGGTATAGCAGAGGTGGAAATAGTTTTCCTTACTTAAAAAGACAACTGTCCTTTCAATTCTTAATTTTGAAAGGAAATATTCAAAAACTGGTCGATCACTAATTAGCATGACGTATTTACTCAAATACCGTAAAATTCCGAAAATAAGCCCCTCCACGTATAAGCCCCCCAAACCAGTAACGCAAAAAACCCTCCGTTAAATCGCCCCTCCAAATATAAGCCCCCCGGGGGCTTGTACTTGGAAACTTACACAGCTCAAATGTGGCACTTATTTGAGGGTGGCATTTATTTGAAAGTTGGACGAAACAAAGAATTTTTTTAACTATGATATTGTTATTTTCCATATTAAACAGAATTAACGTCTTTTGATTTTGATTATAAAGGGGCCATGATGCTTTACATTATTGTCCCAAACACAGCACTTATTCAAGAGCGGCCTAATTCGAATAAATATGGTCATGCTTTCAACCTGGTTTGCATCAAATCTCTTGAAAGTACAAGGCAAGAAAACCCAAGCAATGATTCTGGATAACCCCTCTCAAGCACCTGTTCTTCACATTGGGGACTCTGCTATTTTTTCAAAAAAGGAATTTATAATCTTCCGTCCAAATTTCTCATGATTCCAGACACAATTTGCATAAATCTCAAGCTTTGAAAAAAAAAACGAAATAGTCGAAATAGACCAGCAGTAGAACATAAATGAATTAATTGTTTATGGTTCACAGCCGACCTCCAAGGTAGGCAGTCATCGTTTGCACTATTGTGGTTGTTGCTCAAAGTGGGGAAAAAATTGCACAGAAAGTTTTCTTGTTCGTCTTACAAAGCTTTCTCCATCTTTCAGATCATTGAAACAGGCAGCCATTTTAGTTTCAAAGCATGTGCTTTCAGTTGCATAAATTTGATCTCCATATATGGAAAGTAGAGCCCAGTAATTCTTTAACAAAGAGAGCTGCTTTGTTTCATCCGATTGGAAGACGAAAATGTGGACGTTTTCCTCAAAAGAGTATTTTACTGGAATGGAAAGTTTATCTTTTGATCATGGAATTTTACCTTTTACTGTTTTCAAAATCAATTTAGGGATGTTAAGAAGCTCCTAAGACAAGAGCTAAATCAATAGGCCATTTGCATGATGGAGTCATTTTACTACTACGACCAGAATTCTTTTCGTTTTTCCTTTAATACTTAAATTAGGTATGTAGCCCCAGTGAGGTTTAACTAACAAAAGCCCTAATTTGCACAAGAAAGCAAAACCCTGAAGGATACTGGTCATAGTAGTAAAATGACGCTATCATGCAAATGGCCTATTAAGTGTTCGGACATTATGTCCGAATATGTTGCAATATTAGTCGGACATTTACAAAATTTTGATCGGACATCCGACAGTAATTTCCAGCACTGGTATAGTGGGCATGACTTCATTAATAATGGTGTGCTATCCCTTGTTACAATCAAAGTTGCCTCTAGCTTTTCATATTTAAAAAACAGTAATTTGACAGTTGTTGTTGACCCAAAATGGAACAAAAAATCAAGGCAAGTGAAAAATTGACTTTAAAGGATAAAAATCAGCAAGCCGGACATCAAAAAATGATTATTTGTACAAAACTATTGTCATTGATTTACATTCTTATGTCTGTTAACGAGGAAATTTAGTTTAATTCATTGAAGTGAAAAATAGAGTGAATTTACTAATTAACTCATGGAATAGATAGTAGACTAATATGAGCTATTGCTCTCTAACTCACTGCTCTCTTTTCTGGTCACTTATAATAATATTAATTGGCACCTACTGTTACATACTATTTCACAGGTTGAATTAAATATTTCACTAAAAAAGTTTTATTCGTTGAAATGCAGAGGTTCAGTTTGCATGTGGCAAAGAAACTTCTTTAAGTGTAAGATCTTGTCAAGTCCTGTAATACTTATGTCAATGGGGCTCATCTAGCAAAAACAATACAGGAGTATGAAACAGGTGCAACAGACAAGCTCAGAGCAAGTAAATACTGAAGATCAAGGAAAAAGTGAAGAACAGCTCCCCGAAAAAACTGTCGGCCGACTGTCGGCAAAAATTTTTTCAGGCTAGGTTGTTCTCAACTTCCTTTGCCTCCTCTACCAATTCCTAGACCCAATTATTCTTGATCAAATTAGGGCTTCTAAGGAAACTTACAACAAAAACACCTGTCTGCACAATATGCTGGACAAGAACTTTTTTAGTAAATTAAATTTACGCCGAATTTCGGAAAAAAGGGGACACAATAGCCTTTCCTGTGATAAGTTTAACTCCTGAGGATATTTTAAAGCACTTAACTGCTTGAAAATTTCGCTCAAACCAATACCATGCAGAGGACTACAGCGAATTTTCGAAAACTGCATAACAGCTGTGCATAAGCATGTTTATAAAGTGATAAGGAGGTTTCGATGCAAGTTTTGAGACAGACGCTTGTTTCGGTATTTTTTAACTTTACTGAGCTTATAAAAGCTTATGGTTGAAAAGGAAACATCAAGAAATTAGCAAGTTTAATTTGAATCAATTCGAAATAAGCACGAAAAGGTGACCTTAAGATTACATATGCAAACATGAAATTAAGGGGATCCCTAAATACACTGAGTCCACTGACCTCGCATCTTCCATGCCTTTCACAAGTCTGTGGATTAGGTCCCTTTGTTTGTGAGAAGAAGGATTCTCCTTTGTCGTGAATTTCATTGCTTTTATCCCTTTTTTGTTTTTCCCTGGTAAAACTCATAGGAAGCGCAACCAGCAAGCAAACGACGACACGCTGCAGCATGTTTGACTCACATTCAAACCCATCGTAACGACTGAGTGAGAACTGGTAACGACTGCGAGGAAGAAATCGCGCGATCGCACGAGCGAGTAGAGGGTCAGGAGGTGAGAGGACATGGACCTAAAAATTCTCCACAACTGCTACCTTGGAACAGATCTGAAAGAGGCCGTTGTGATATGTTGGTTGAGTTTAAACAACAGTCAATGTTTGGATTATTTGGCCGTGCCTTCCGACTGGAAATACGTGAATGTCAGGACCACTTCCCAAGAGCACTTCGAGAGAAAGGCAAGAAGTAGGAACCATGGTTAATTTTTTTATCGCTTTTAACCCTAACAGCTCCTCATTGTCATCCAATTCTCGTGTCCTCTCATCATTCCTTGTCGTTCTTCGCAAATGGTAGCTACGAAACCAGCTGTTTACTTCAAATAAGTCAGTCAGTTGGGGATCAGCATTATCCCGAACTTTTCTCGTCACAAATATATCACAGCCCTGAGTCTTGTTTGCCTAAACAAAGGAACATTGAAATCACGCCAAAATAGTTTCGGTATGAACGACTAGCTGATTGTAGTCCATAGTAAATTCGTTGTAGAGTGCATATGACCCAGTTAATATAACAGCCTGTCTATCTTTACATAGAGTCTATATCCTGTACTTAGAAATCCTGACTGAAATTTTAATGTTAAGTTAGTGTATTAGATAACAGTACCGCGTAATAATTGCTGCGGAGCGACCGAAGGGAGCGAGCATCAACATAATCAGGATTTAAAGGAAATATATAAGGGGCGACGAATTCTCGAATTCATCACTTTTTACCACAATGCATTACATTCAACCACACTTTTTACCACAATGCATTGCATATTTAACCAGAGTGCATTGCGCCACGAACAACTCAAATAAAAACACGGGGAAGTTCGGTGGGTGAGAGAGTGCATCGTTCGCTGCTCAGACTTAGAGGTTTCTTTGTGGCAAATTTTCTACAGCACGGTTAGAGGTCTTACCAAATTTTAAGACACGCAGGAGTCTTTCAGATGAGTACGATGGTTAACTTGAGGATTGGATTTCAATTTAAGAGCCTTTGACTCGTCCAGGTGTTAAACCTAACGAGACGATGAGCATTTGCTCTTCGACTCCGCAACACGGGGGATATACAAATTCCAGCTTGCTAGAAGGTGATGTGAAAGTGAGAAAATGTCATGCAGTGCTATTCTTAAGAAACTGTATGAGCCGAAAATGGATGTGATTTTGACCATTCGCTGCAAAATAACAGCGGAAATCGAGATAACAAAACATATGTTTTGTGTCCTACTTTGCAGACGAGGACGTGTATCGGCGTTTTGAAAAGCATAATTATGTTCTTTCATTCATTCATTGCCATGGAATATGCGTTTACATTGTTTTTTCACTGTTAGTAGCTCGGTTAATGCGGCTGGCGATCATCCTGCCGGCGGAAGTTTCATGGAAAGATGGAAAGGGAATAAATAAAGACTTTTCCTGCAAATTACGTAATTAGCCTCTGTGGTGTAGTGGTTAGGTGTAGTCGCGTCGAGCCGAAGGTGCAGGGTTCGAGTCCTACCGAATTCATCACTCCTTCTTTCTTTTTTTTCCGTTTTTTGTGTAGTTGTTTTCTATAAATATATAGCTAAATAACTGTTACTTAATCAAGTGCAACAAACAGCAAGAAAAGTATTGTGTTTCCAGAGAAAATATCGTGCACCGTATATTAAATATATGGATAAACAAACTGAATTTCTATTGTTTCCTACAATTTACTGTGGGAAAACCAGAGTTATAACCACTTGATCATTTTCTAAACAACGTTCCCACGGGTTCTTTCTATAGACTGATAGTAATTATTCTAGTACTTTCCAACATGTAAATAGGACATTCAATATCATTTTCGATTGTTTTAAGTCTCGCTGCCTAACTAATGCCAGTATCAACAGAATGTGCCGCAGCATTACTATCTTTTAGATACCCTAGTACATAATGTAATAGGTAAGCAATGGATATAGTTAGTGTAATACTACATGATCTAAGGTCTAAGCTCGGTGTAGTTTGTTCAAG